AGTACATTTTTGGAAAGCTAAACCTACAATTATACAGGTTTAATCTAAACCTACAACTCTAATGGTTTAATCTAAACCTACAATTCTACAGGTTTAATCTAAACCTACAATTCTACAGGTTTGATATAAACCTACAATTCTACAGGTTTAATGTAGACCTACAATTCTACAGGTTTAATCTAAACCTACAATTCTACAGGTTCAATCTAAACCTACAATTCTACAGGTTTAATCTAAACCTACAATTCTACAGGTTCAATCTAAACCATACAATTCTACAGGTTCAATTTAAACCTACAATTCTACAGGTTTAATGTAAACCTACAATTCTACAGGTTTAATCTAAACATACATTTCTATATGTTTAATCTAAACCTATATTCTAAACCTGTCTATCGTTGAGATCTCCATCAGCCCGTTCACAGGTTCCCTGTAAAAAGATCGCTACAGTGAAATCTCTGGTTCATTTGGAGTACTGACACGACTATTCGGCAGCTAGAGCAGTTGTTTACAGTATACAGTATACACACAGACACTACAGTACACCAAATTAGTTATACACTTCTAGGAATTGTGCAACACAAACTCTTGTGCGAAAAAATAAAAAAAAAACCATGGTTAAAAAATAGTTCTCGAAGCAAATTAATAATTTGTGTAAATACAGTACCACCCAAAAAACTGTGGGATAGGAAGACGATATTAAAGCAATCTTATGTGTATTTTATGATGTTCATAGGCCCCACTGTGCTGCACTGCAACCTTCAACAACTCAAAATTGCTGATGTATCGAACACACTAAAAAGTCTTGCCGCGCCATCAAAGTTGAAACCGAGCCGGCTAGGTCGGGCCGGTACTATTGCTGGTACATGAGGGCGGGCCGGTACTATTGCTGGTACATGAGGTCGGGCCGGTACTATTGCTGGTATATATGGTTGGGCCGGTACTATTGCTGGTACATGAGGTCGGGCCGGTACTATTGCCGGTACATGAGGTCGGTACTATTGCTGGTACATGAGGTCGTGCCGGTACTATTGCTGGTACATGAGGTCGGGTCGGTACTATTGCTGGTACATGAGGTCGGGCTGGTACTATTGCTGGTACATGAGGTCGGGCCGGTACTATTGCTGGTACATGAGGTCGGGCTGGTACTATTGCTGGTACATGAGGTTGGCCCAGTTTGAATTAAAAATGACCCATAGTCCACCGTGAGAGACCTTTAATGAGAACTTTTTACTTACTCTTTCTTGTTTGTTCTCTATTTTCACAATCAAATCTTCATCCTTGCAATTTTTTGCTGAAAATATAATTGATCAAAACAGCACTGCAGCCTGAGTCAAAAGATGAAGGTCAAATTTATTCGAAATCTTTGGTACGAGTTTGTGACCTCAATTCTCTTCTAGGTTTTATTTAACTCGCAAGTAAAAGTAAAATAATTCAAAAAATATTCAAACATATTTGACTTCAAAATGGAATTTACATTAGAACGACGTGATTGGGTAACATTAACATTAAAAAGTTGTTAGTTTGGAGTTCTGTCTGATTTTAAAATAAAATAAAATTTTCTCGGTTAAGAAAATATTTTGTCAAAAAATTAGTGGAAATTTTTTAACCATTCTATCTAATCTAGAATTTGTATGCATTTGCATTATCAAATCGCATGAAAACCATGAATTTTTTAAACTATCTAAATGTTAAAAAATAATAATGTCAGTTTTACTTTTAATAGATGAGCTAAGTATATATAGATATATATTTGACTAAATATACTACTAAATATACTACTAAATATACTACTAAATATACTACTAAATATACTACTAAATATACTACTAAATATACTACTAAATTGCACAATTTTTACATTTTAATTTAGCCATAGTAGGTGTATTTGCAAAATCCAATTTACAGATAAAAAGTAATGGTTATTATTAAACAAAATGTATCTATATAGTTAATTTTGAAAAAAAAAAATATCTCAAAGAAAATCTTTAAACTTTTTTCTGTATTTTTCAAAGAAAAAATTTAAAAGATAAAAAAATTTTAAAATGTACCTGAATCATAGTCTTCACTCCAATAGTCTTTTTTAGCTGTCACAAAAATAATGCAATCGATCAGAAGTAAAAGAACATTTCTATTCACAACGATTAACATATCAAAAAAGATCTTAACATTTTAACAGAAACATGATGAATTGATTTAATTGAATTTTTACAACTGAATTTAAAACATGAAATATGATATTTCACTTTCTACATTTATAATACTGTATACAGGGTGTCCCGAAATACATGGGAATTAAGTGACGAATTCGATATCGTCTTTGTTATGAATCAGCATTGTAATACAGTGAAACCCTTAATAAGGAATACATCGGAAGAATTTATCAAATGTCGTCTTGACAATTTTTCAATGAGTTTTATAAAATATTTCGTAAATTTCAGTATTTGCGAAAATAAATAAATAGCCATGAATATACGGGAACAGTTTTAAAGAGTTCCATATAATCATTTAATAAAAAAACTAAATATTTGCAACATTACATTATCAGAAAGTGAAGAATACGACATTTGATGAATACTTTCAATGTATTCGTTATTAAGGGTTTCACTGTACCTAATTTCATAAGCCATAATATTACTATGTCTGCTAGAGTTTATTTTATGAAAAGGGTAAATGGCTGTAAATATGGGACTATAACGTCTCCGCAAGATGAACAGTGAAGACGGAGACAAGTTTATTCTGTTTGCATACTGCAATTTTCATGTTTTACTAAGTACGACCGTATGCAATCAAAACATAAACAAACAAAATGTGAACATTGCAGACGAAACTCTAACAGATTTAAGCTTTCTCAGAATGTATCACTATACTAAATCAAAGAATTATTTAAAAAGAAATATCGAATTCGTCACTGAATTCCTATGTTTACTGGAACGCCCTGTATGATTAAGTTGAATCCAAATATGGCAAGACATAATAATATTAATTATTAATTGAAATAATGAATAAATAATGAATGGAAGTTTATGAAAACGAATAGAAAATGTTGGTAACTAACTGCAGAAAAAACGGCTCAGTTTAAACTCGTTAACTAATAACTGATGAACATTTAGTTAAACGTCAAAATAAATTAAGATTGAATACATATACGTTTTTAATCATTATTCGTTTAATTGGAAAGCTAATGCAGGATGAACAGAAATGTTTTGGATTTTTTAATACAGGGTGTCCCAATAAACATGGGAAATTAGTGAAGAATTCGATATCGTCTTTGCTATGAATTAGCATTGTAATATTTAATTTCAAAAGCCAATATTATTATGCCTGCTAGAATGTATTTTATGAAAACGGTAAATGGCTGTAAAGATGTGTCTATAATGTCTCTACAAGATGAACAGTGAAGACGGACAAGTTTAATCTGTTTGTATACTGTAATTGTTTTGTTTCACTAAGTACAACCGTATGCAGTTAAGAAACAAACAAATTGTAAACATAAATATCTTAATGACCTTTTATTGTATTTGTAAATTGTTTTATAGTATTTTTTTGGATTCTGTAAATACATGCTAAAATATATAGAGAAATTAACTGCACGGATTTAATATCTGAAATACGGATAATGTCAATAGCTGAGCAACTTATAGAAAACATGTCAAAATTGCCATGCAAAAATGACTTTGAGGGTGGACAAAAATGTCACATTAAACTTTTTTTTAAATTGTTGATGTAAGTACCAGAAATGCGTAAGTTAAGCCGCCTGTCCATTTATTTTTGATTTAAAATTCGGTAATGGTGATGGACCAAACCTCTGTAGAGTAAAGTAGATGTTGGTTCCACATTTATTGAAAATATATTTTGGTCTGGGTTGACCCTCGTCAGTTCTAACGATATAATAACCATCAAATTTCAACAAAAAGACAATTAAAAAAAATTGGGGCTGTCAAATGGACATAAGGGAAACGAACTCAGATTATGAAATGGAAAAATGATAAATTGCAAACATTCACTTTCTATAAAATATTGGTTGTAATGTAGATTATCTGCAGTTATCCAAGTCAATTCCTATGAAGTGAGCTATCTACATTGTTTGCTAAAATAGTGCAATTATAGATCGATCCCTCTTAATGGACACTTATTTATTATAGATCGATCCCTCTTAATGGACACTTATTTATTATAGATCGATCCCTCTTAATGGACACTTATTTATTATAGATCGACCCCTCTTAATGGACACTTATTTATTATAGATCGACCCCTCTTAATGGACACTTATTTATTATAGATCGATCCCTCTTAATGGACACTTATTTATTATAGATCCACCCCTCTTAATGGACACTTATTTATTATAGATCGACCCCTCTTAATGGACACTTATTTATTATAGATCGACCCCTCTTAATGGAAACTTATTTATTATAGATCGACCCCTCTTAATGGACACTTATTTATGCCAGTTTGATAATTCGTTGTAAGGAACAATATTGTTTTTATCGAAACATTCATTCGGTTCAATGATTATAAGAATATAAAATAAAAATGCATTTTAATTTATAATCCTGCTGCTGTAGTTCGATTTCCGGTGATTACAGCCTTCCCCCCCCCCTCCACCATTGCATTCCTTACTCCTCTCCTCCTCTAAGTCTCACCGTTACCAAACTGCATTTATTGCAGACCTAAGTTTGTTAATCATTATAATCCTGAGAATTTAAAATTCCTAAATATAAACCACAAAATAATAAAACTGTTCATCCGTATCCATTTTGTTTTAACAAACCAGAAGGAACTGGCTCAAATTGTACATTCTTTCAAGGGCAGGGGAAAATATTTCATTGAAAGTCCCTAATTATCTGTCATCAAAGTTTCTAAAAGAAAGTGTCATTTGTTGATTTATCGATTTTCAATAGAAGTCGTCTTTGTTTATTTTAAAATTCTGCGCAAATGCCGCACCCTGTTTTAAACCGGTTATTTGCTGAATCACGGAAGATTTTTGTTGGTAACTATAATCCTTATTCAAGATATATCCTTCTGCAGATCAAGCAAATTCTAATTTTGAAAGAATTTCTGCAAATGTGAATTCAACTTCCTTTTATCTAAGAATAAAAATGTCCGCTGTGGTGGTGATTAGAGACGAGGGACACTTCCAGACCGAGTTGGCCAACGCTGGACCTAAACTGGTTGTTGTGGACTTTACGGCCAGGTCAGGGGTCTATGGTGCCCAAGGGGCGGGGTAATCTTAATTATAAACATCGTGATATTCTCCCTGTTTTTGTAATTAGTTTAGCAAATTTGTTCGGTTAATGTTGTACATTACGTAGATTCTAACTATTTGAAACAAAAAATTTATATCTTGTATAATTTCGGGGTTAGGTTAGGTTAGGACAATTTCTGGGCCGAGTGCTGCGGCGTGGGTAGACTAGGGGACCGAAATTATAAACAAAATTAGTATATATTTATGGGTTAGGATAAGAACAGGATAGGCCAGGGTGGCGGGCGCCGTGGCTAGGATTGGCTAGGGGGTCGGGCGCTGCGGCCACATGACCAACTTTATCCATGTGTTAAATATGAGATACATTTCCAAATTTAAGGGGGGGGGGCCAAAAATCGTTTTAGGAAATTACTTTTATTCACCTTGTTCATGTCTAATTCTTGGTCAAAAGGGTAACAAGATAACAGGTCATGGCTAAAACAAATCAGGATAAGGAGTCTTTCAAATTCCCCCAAAAAAATCTTATTAACATTTGAGATTGAATTTTTTTTCTTCCAATTTTATTTTATCTCAAATCTTTATTATCATTATGTTTTTTTTCACAGTACAAAAAGTTAAATGGGTCCGTCCTAGTATAGTTGGACGGGGGGTATCATATCAAATTTTTTAATTCTGTTTAGTTGGTGTGGTTCCTGTATTTTTAAACCTGTTTAGTTGGTGTGGTCCCTGTAAACGTATTTCACCATTCTTCGAAGAGCTTTGTGCAAAGTACCCTAGAGCAGTATTTCTCAAGGTAACTTTTTCTTATTTCTTCCATTAAAAATCTTCATTATGCAGCATTAATGTTTTTTTACTTTTCATCAATTTATGATTGTTAGAATAAATGATTAAATGAATGATGTTTGTTATTGGTTAATGGAGTCAATAGCTCTGTTTAGTGTTCATGTTAATTGATAATTGATCCATTAATAAAAGTGTGACAACTTGTGTAGTGATTGATTTATTTGATTATTGATTAAATTATTAATTAATTGTTAAACAGATGGATTGATTTATTGATGTACCAAGAATTATATTAATTGATTAACTGATTGAATTGAGATAAAAAAAAAATTTCATCATTTTTAAATCTTTTCACCCAATAAAAACGTTTTAAAAAAATTAAGGAGTTGAAAATGATAATCAAATGAGAGGAGGGGGGTCAAGGAAATATATAACCCTGTTGGCTGATTAATTAACTGTTTAACTGTTTTATTTTCTGATGAATTAAATAAAAGAACTATTTTACTTGCTTGATTGATTAATTGATTGATTGATTTATTGATTGATTGATTGATTGTTAAGGTTGATGTTGATGAGTGCCAGGATACTGCTGCCGCCCTCAGTGTATCTGCAATGCCAACCTTCATATTCTTCAGGTAAGGGCAAGGGTTCCTCTAGGGGTGTATTTATTTTCCTGAAAAATACTTCTTATCCCACATAAGGTAAAAGAAAGTTAGGTTTTATGATTTTTTACTTATTTAAATAAAGAGTAGGAAAAAGGATGAAAAAAGTTGCCTTTTCATTTTTAATTCTTAATAATATACACCCCTGGGGTTATCTAGAGATTTGGTTGCAGATTTTATGAGCTAAGCTACTGTTTATGGGAGATTTTATGGGAGTAGTTAAATGCCACTACTGGACTAGGTACCCCTGCTGGTTTTGTAGAATAAGAAAGCAATAATCCTTTACAGGAGATTAGTTAACGATTTAATCCCTGCTGTGAAATAGATTAGTTTAAGACCTAATCAGTGCTGAATTATACAGAGAGGACAGGAAATTAGTTAACGACCTAATCCCTGCTGTGAAATAGATTAGTATAAGACCTAATCAGTGCCGTATTATACAAAGAGTGCAGGAAATTAGTTAACGATCTAATCCCTGCTGTGCATTAGATTAGTATAAGACCTAATCAGTGCTGTATTATACAAAGAGTGCTGGAAATTAGTTAACGATCTAATCCCTGCTGTGCATTAGATTAGTATAAGACCTAATCAGTGCTGTATTATACAAAGAGTGCAGGAAATTAGTTTACGACCTAATCCTTGCTTTGCATTAGATTAGTATAAGACCCATTCATTGCTGAACTCTACAGAGAGTACAGGAGATAAGTGAACGATCTAATCCCTGCTGTGAAATAGATTAGTATAAGACCTAATCATTGCTGAATTATACAGAGAGGACAGTAAGCTGATTGATACTAACTATATTCTAATTTTTGTAGAAATGAGACAAAAATTGACAGAATACAATGAGCTGATTAATGCGAACTATATTCTTATATTTGTAGAAATAAGACTAAGATTGACTGAATACAATGAGCTGATTAATGCGAACTGTATTCTTATATTTGTTGAAATAAGACTAAGATTGACAGAATACAATGAGCTGATTAATGCGAACTATATTCTTATATTTGTAGAAATAAGACAAAGATTGACAGAATTCAGGGAGCTGATACTAACGCACTAGAAGAGAAGGTAAGAAATCACTTCTCATTTCCTTTGTTTACATGTTTTCCGAATTACTAGATTTCAAAATTACTTTGTAATGATTTGTTGGATTAGTCTGGATGATCTGTTGAATTAGTCTAGATGAATCTGACTGATGAGTAGTTCTGATGATTTGTTAAATAGTTTCCAAGATCTGATTTATAGTTTGGACTTAGGATGTTCTGTTGGATTGGTCTGGATGGTACTTAGGTTAGTCTGGATGAGCCGTTAGATTAGTCTAAATGATCTGTTTTATTAAACTGGATTATTTGTTAATTAGTATGGTTGATAATTTGATAAGTTTGAATGCTCTGATAATTAATTTGGATGAGATCGAATTGATTAGTCTGGATGATCTGTTGATTATTCTGAATGAACTTTTTGAATAGTCTAAATGAACTTTTGAATAGTCTTAATTGTGTGTTGATTAGTCTAGATAATCTTATGATCATTCTGGAATGATCTGATGATTAGTCTTGATGAACTGTTTGATTAGTCTTTATTTTCTGTTCATTAGTCCAGATAATCTTATGTGTGGTCTGAATGATCTTTTGACTAGTCTTGATGATCTGGATGATTCGCCTGAAAAAACTGTTTGATTAGTCTGGATGATCTAATGATTAGTCTGGATGATCTGATGATTAGTCTGGATGATCTGATGATTAGTCTGGATGATCTGATGATTAGTCTTGATGAACTGTTTGATTAGTCTGGATGAGCTGTTTGATTAGTCTTGATGAACTGTTTGATTAGTCTTGATGAACTGTTTGATTAGTCTTGATGAACTGTTTGAACTATTAGTCTGGATGAGCTGTTTGATTAGTCTTGATGAACTGCAGTTTGATTAGTCTTGATGAACTGTTTGATTAGTCTTGATGAACTGTTTGATTAGTCTGGATGAACTGTTGATAAGCCAGGATGAACTGTTTGATTAGTCTGGATGATCTGATCATTAGTCTTGATGAACTGTTTGATTAGTCTGGATGAACTGTTTGATTAGTCTGGATGAACTGTTTGATTAGTCTTGATGAACTGTTCAATTAGTCTGAATGAACTGTTTGATTAGTCTGGATGAACTGTTGATTAGTCAGGATGAATTGTTTGATTAGTCTGGATGAACTGATGATTAGGCTTGATGAACTGTTTGATAAGTCTGGATGATCTGTGTAGGTGAAGCAGCACTATGGAGAGGAAGGTGCAGAAGAGGAGGATGCCGGGGTTAAAGGGTTTATGGATCTGAACACATTCTTGATGAAGGTGGACTTTTTATTTTGAATTTGTATTTAACCAGATTGTCATTTTAAAAAATCAAACTCTTTATACCTTACAGAAATACATTATATGGAGTTCAGAACAAAAGGAAACTCGTGCCTCTTGATTATTGCTAGAACTTGCAAACTCGAAAATTGCAAGGGTGCACAAAAAAATGTTATTTTATAGACGAACATGAGGGATGATGCACGAAGTACCAGATTTCTTTTGCTGTTGAAACGATTTTGGTGTCTTTTATTCAGAAATTGTATTTTTCAAAAAAAAAATTTTATTTCTTCGGGTAACGCGGGGCATTTGAGCTGGTATGTTATACATCCTGTTATCGTAGGCCCAGTGTGAGTGTTTGAACGAAGACGACGAGCACCCCTACACACATTGTCTTACTTCAGGTAAACAATCCAAAATGCCTTCAATCTTCATAATCTTCCTGAAATGTTGACTTTGGATTTATTTTTGTTTGAAGAGTCTATTGATAATATTTTAAACTAGTTTGGGAACTCGTTAATCCGCATTTGAACGATTTCACCGTGAAACTAAATTTTCCCTTTTAAAGTCGACTCACTTAACTTAAAATCTCAAAACCAAGCTAATAACATTCCTGTAGGCCTCCCGAGTTCCCCAACAGCAACCAGGGATTTAACTCAATATATATATATATAATTAGGAGGGGGATTCCTGCAATCTGATTGTGATGAACAGTTGATCCTGGCTCTAGCCTACAACCAGGGATTTAACTCTTAAACAATGCTAGTTGCATCTTAAGCTGAAACATATTGATTCGTTGTTTGTTAGAAGTTTTTTCTTACATACTATTTCATTGTCACCTGCCCTTATTTTTTTTATGCGCTAAGGATTTAATGTTATGGTTCTTATCAGAGACCTGTGACAAGAGCGTTTGGTAGGAAAATTGTTAAAAACCTACTTCCTTTACTTAGAATCCCTTATCCTACATGAAACAAGTTTATTACTGTAGTTCATGCCTTAAATATTTAATATTTGGTCAGGTACGCCGCTATCATTATATCAACAAGAGGTGTTAGAAACATTAAAAATTTCATAACTAAAACTCAGTGTTAGGATCTAAACATTATGATGCGGATCCGGATCCTGGATCTGCACTGAAAAAATGGATCCTTATTTGGGAATGATAGTTATTCAAGATTTACAGATTTTTTGTTCGTTATGTTCGTTATTTTCCTCCCACATTTTCCGGATCCGGATCCATGAAGCCAAAATCTTGCAAATCCTAGGCACTGACACATAGATTTAAAAGAAAGGTTTACATTTCCGACACCAGTGCTTCGGATCCAGATCCGTTGGATCTGCAGCATTTTGGCTTAATGGGTCTGGATCCGCAAAAATATGCGGATTCTCGGATCCAGATAAGGGACAAAATATCGACCAAAAACTGAGAGAGAAAAAATCTTTGGCTCTCAAAACTTATCTTTTATTATGATTTTCCTAGTTGTTGCATAAAGATAAGTGAAAAAGGAAAGAAAAATCTGCTTTAAAAAAAATCAGTTAATCCTAAATAAATCTTTATGACTTGGAACCGGATCCATTTTTTCCCCTTGCGGATCCGAATCTGCATTACAAATGAAATGTATCCTAAGCTCTGATTTCTGTGTATTGGTTAAGAGTTAAATCTCTAAAGGCGGTGAAACTGCACAGTATCAAGATTAAGGCTCCAGCAGATAAAGGGCCTAAAACGGTAATAAACTTCTATCAACACTCAACATACAGAACTAAAACTAAAATTACCTAAAATGACTGTATACGTGAATTGAACTGTCCCTGAGCATGTCCAATTTACTGATTTTCTATTGTGAGTATAAATATTAAAGCTGTCGTCTGTTTTTAATCTTATAATGTGTTGAATTCTGACAAAATCCTTCTTTGTCTTTGCACCATAAATCCTTATAGTTTATAGAAAAATAGTATTAAAAACTATCAATATCCAGTTAGAAAAATAAAGATATTTCATCAATCCTAGATTTGTAAACTGTTTAAATGTTACCATTGTGAAAATAACATTCCATTCTACCCTGTACTGGGAGGGAGACCTGAAATCATAGTTGCGGTCCTTTTGTGAAATCCAAGGCAACGTTGCTGGAATATCTTATCCTGACACTATTGCTTTTAGATGAAGCTTTGAAGTAAAAAAATTGTGAATTGTATAAGGCACTTCCGAATTCAAAGCTATGGTTTTCCAACCAAAATGGCGTCATTTTTAGTTTTTATTTAACAAGGCATTTTAAATATTGTTTAGCTGAGACTATTTATTAATCAACCGAACACACTGGACTTCGACAAAGCAGACTCCATGACGTCAACACAGGTAAAAAAGCTTAAAAGGGCGTATGTATGTTGTATTTAGAAGTGGGGGAAATATTCCCACAGCCTCTATGTTTTAAGGTTTATAAATATTTTCCCCTGAAACGCTTAATTTTATATGTTTTTTAGAAATATAAAATTTCTCACTTAATTCCATACTTACTAACCTAATTACTTAATTACTATTTTGCAATATGGTTTATCATTATCAACCTTAAGTTATCTAAGAATTAAGATATGATTCTATCCAAAAAATGGTTTCTTGAAGAATTAATTTTTACAGCCAAAAATCTTTATTGAGAGGGTTCTAATGCTTCGTTTAATCATTATGATTAAAATAACCTAGGATATTCCCCTACATTTCTGTCTTTAAGCTGGTTGGTTTGGTTTGGTTTGGTTTGGTTTGGTTTGGTTTGGTTTGGTTTGGTTGGTGATTAATGGGTAGATTGATTGCTAATTTCTAGAATATAGTATAAAACCCGGGTCAGCTGGATGGATCTGTGAATGATTGATAATTTCTAGGATAAAGTATTAAACCCGGGTCAGCTTGATGAATCTGTGATTGATGGACTGTTAAATTCAAGAATAGAGTATAAACCCCGGGTCAGCTGGATAGATCTGTGAATGATTGATAATTTCTAGGATATTGTATTAACCCCGGGTCAGCTGGATGGGTCAATGATTGATTGCTTGTTAATTTCTAGGATATAATATCAACCCCGGGTCAGCCGGATGGATCTGCGAATTAATGATTGATTGATTGATTGATTGAGTGAGTGAGTGAGTGTTAATTTCCAGGATATAGTACTAACCCCGGGTCAGCTGGATGGATCTGTGATTCCTCTCAAGTTTGTCAAGTTCCAAAACGTGCAGAATGTCCAGTTCTTCATCAAGGTTAGCAGAAAGATATATCAGATCAGAGTCCGAGTTTTATGAATTTGAGCCACGTCTCAAATTCGACATAAGAGGTGTGGGTCAGTGAAAGGCTTGCCTTTAAATTACCTATTAAAGGATTGAATCTCGTTGGAACTAATATCCCCCTGTAAGGGCATTATCTCATGATTTGATTTATCTGTGTGCAAAACTTCAAAAAACTAAGAATGACATTCTAAAATTTTCAAAATTTGGTTTATAAAGAATAACTTTTGAAATTTCTTTTTATATGTTAATATTATTTTCAGGATAATCAGAGCGGAGGAGAAGTCACACAAATCGATCACTTGTCTATCGTTGGTAAAATTTTTAAGATTTTTTTTAGATACCTCGAGTATATAGTGTTCACAATCCGGCTTTTAGATACCTCGAGTATATAGTGTTCACAATCCGGTTTTTAGATACCTCGAGTATATAGTGTTCACAATCCGGTTTTTTATCTGTAGTTATTATATACTAGTATGTATGATTGGAAAAGTAATAAAGATTCGTTGAAAATCTTCAACAAATGCAACGCATGGAGGCCCTTAGAAAAAAGAGATTTTTATTAAATTTTTTTGAACCTCTCATGCAACAAAGTTTCAAAAAATCTGAAAGGGGAGGGTACACTATTCCCATTTGAATACATTTTGGACTCCTGTCTTCATTTTTTGAGGAATCTGAAATTTTGCATGTGGGCATAATTTGTGTTTGTTTTAAGTAAAATAAAAAAAATATGGGGGAAAAAAATTTCCCTCTTTTTCCACATTTTTCCATGTTTTTTAAACCTTTTTCACCAAAACCTCTGAGTCAAATACCAACTAGGTGCTTTAAACACCTGCTTGTTAGTCAAGAATCTCATTATTAACATCAGAACGAAGTTTAAGGTTTTTCAGATCCTTTTCCCTCTATTTTCCCCTTATTTTATCATATTTTCCCACTTTGATAATGTTTTCAGATTTTCTGGATTCATGGATTCATTTTTCTAAGAATCTGAAGGATATTTTGCATATGGGCATTTCATTCAGATTCCGTAAAAAATGAAGACAGGAGTCCTAAATGTATTCAAATGGGAAAAGTGTACCCTCCCCTTTAGAAATGTTAATTAAAATTGTATTTATGTTTTTTTTTTTAAATGAAGTTTATTACAAGAAGTAAATAGTTTAAGGACTTAGTCCTAAAATTATACAGAAATGTTTGAACAATACATCCAGATCTACACTGCTATGGTCGATAGCTCCTGTCTCATAGCTCACAGCTGGCTCATCAATAATTGTATTTATGTTTTTCAGGAACTCCGATTACTACAACAAATATGGGAGAATTCAAGAGAGTTGCTGGAAAGAAGGGAGAATCTGAGTAAACTCAATAACAATCATGATCAATCCCATCATTTGATCAATTACTCCTCCACTGATCAATCCCATCATTTGATCAATTACTCCTCCACTGATCAATCCCATCATACTTCATTTGGTTTAAAAACATCAATATTTGATCAGAATATCTTCAAATTAAGATTCTCATGATCAAATCTGATCATTCATTACACAACTCAGTCAGTTGATTTTGAATTAACTCTTGATCAAGTCATCCATAAAAAAACAAGATTTATTTTGTTTAAGATTAACTAAAAGATTTTAAGTCAAAATTTTGTCAGCTAATGATAAAATATGCCACATGGAAATTTCTACGACTACATCAATTTCCAACATTGATTTTGCCTACAATACAACAATAAAATATACATGTTTATTATTTTATGCTTTGGAAAAGTGAAATTAAAAGTTACATATTTAAGATTCAATCATGCTTGATATCAAATCAGAAATTTCCTTTTTAATGCTTGACATTGAGCTGATTTAAATCTGGTCATATCAAACTTTATTTTTATGAATTGCGAATCAATTTTGGCTCGCTTGTTTACTGGTCAAATAGCTGTATTTTTCTATATGTTAATCCATTTATAATCACTTCTGTTTAATTTAAACCCAGTTCTAGATCGTTATTATTCGATCAGTTTTTTTTCATTGATCATTAGGATTGAATAATTTGATCAAGTTCTTCGACATAAAATGCAAAAACAAATGTTCTAATCTTCTGCTTTAAACGCTTCGGATAAAATATGCTTTTAAAAGTTGGTAATTATTAACTTTTAATGTTCAATTATTAATAATTATTAATTGTATGAATATAAAAGAAAACAATTTTGATGTAAACTCGACCTATTGCAGAAATCCAAGATGGCTGAAAACAAGATGGTGGACGCCTCCAAGTTTATCACAACGATGAAAGCAACCTCAACCCCTGAGGTGGCGGAAATCTGGGGCAGAATTGGTTAGTTTGATTTTTTTTATAAAACACGGAATTTCCTTTTTTTTGATTAATTTCATGTGACCCTCCAAAAAAGATGGCAATGCCCTCCTTTATCTCATCAAATGTGTGTTCAGATATTTCGTTTTTCTAGGTTAAAATGTTTTAATGAACTGCTAATTCTTCCGTTTTCCTGCAGTAGAAATGCGCAAGCAGAGAACCACAATTGAAAATAATCAGTTCTAATAATAAATATAAACATTGATCTATTTTTTCATAAGTGATCAGACAAAGCTTTATGGGTACCGTTGTGAATTGGGCATACTCATCTTTACTTGAAGGGTCACACAAATTTACGCTTGCAGTCCCTTCAAGATACAAATCCCGGATCCGTACTGTAAATAATGTATACGGGTCAGCTCAGATATTTCTTCTTTGTTTGCTTGGTTTTTAATTTCCAAATATTATTTGTATGAAGAATTTTTTAACCCATTCAATAATTAGGTTTTAATGATAACTTATTAGTCAACAATTCGCTAATTATTATTTAATTACAAATAGCTAAAGTGCCGGAGGTTGCCCGTGGAAAAAAAGAAAAAATGGAATTTTGAAAGAAAAAATGTCAACATTTGTCTTGTTCATGTCACCCCCAGAGCACCTATGGTTTCCATTAGCCAATTTGGTTCAGCCGTTTGTCAAGCTATAGATAACATATAAATGTATAGAAGATGAGCGAAGAGCTTTATTTTAAAGATAAAAAGAATTCAAGTTTTCCATTTTTGTCCCAGATACTAATTTCCCTCGTCCGGGTTTTTAGAAATCTTTGATGATCTAGAGTGTCGTTTATTAGATTTTATTCTATATCTCTAGTCTGAACCAGTGAACAATTACTACCTTTTTATTAGCACAGTTGTATGCCTTTTTTTTGTTATTGCATCTTAAACGGACGGGAGCTCAATCCTAATCTCAAGGATACTAATTAACTGCCATTATTATTGTTATTTTTATTTAAGTGTCTTTAATAATGTATATTGTTTACCAGTTAATCAGTTTACCGATGGCGGTCTGGGTTCTCCTACTGGGAGGGGGGGGGGGGGGGGGGCTTTCAGATCTCTTTCCAGATATAAAATGTCAAATTTTCAATTATTTAATTTTAGAGGAGTATTACAATAAGAAGCTCTGGCATCAGCTGACTATTGAGCTTCGTACTTTAGTGAAACTACCATCCATGCAGGTAAGCAGGCAGGGGTGTATATAATTCAAAATTACAAGGGAAGGGGTGAAAAAAAATGATTTTTGGTGATTTTTAGACATAAAAACAAAGAATTAAAAATATAAATTCTTTATCCATTATTTTGCAGGAAGGGACCAAGCTGATATCTCTCTACAATGATTTCATCTCAGATTTTGAGAGCAGGTTACAACATTATAAAATAATACTTCGAACCTTATGTTCATTTATTTTCTTGTCAGAACTAAAAAATATTTAACGGGTTATAAATGACCATTTCCCCTCAAATTTACTACTGTAGCCTTTAAACCTTGGACTGAGTGTACTTCGTCATTAGTGTTTTTGTGGATCTCTAAAATGGTGTTCAAATTCAAATTGCCGTAAATATAGCCCACATTTGAGACGCGGCTCAAATATGGTTGGTCTCACTTAAAATTCTATTCAGTTTTTCTAGATTTAAGCCGTGTTCAAATGGGGCGGTTCAGCAAAGCGGTTTAAAAGAATCTCATGTTATTTTAGATATTTTTGTGAACTCGAGGTTAATGACTTATTGTTGTTTAGGTTGAATCCACTAACTCTGGTCCAGATGGCAATGGTTGTACTAGACAGATTTGAAAAGGTATCATTATTGTTATTATTACTATCAGTGCTTTGGATCCATTTAATTTTGATGCGGATCCGGATCCTGGATTCGCACTGGAAAATAATAGATCCGTATCCAAGTCATTTCTTTAAGATTTACTGAATTTTTTTAACAAAAAAAAATTTCAAATTTTTTGTAGAATATTTTTTCGCTTATTTTTATCCTTAAACTTAATGAACCATTCAGACATGAGGAAATTTTTTATAATCTCTCTTTTTTTTCAAAAGTTCAGTAAAAAAGTTTTTTTTGCAGTTTTTGGTTGATTTTTACCCTTTGGATCCGCATATTTTTGCGGATCCGGATCCAACGGATCCGGATACGGGTCCTAAGCACTGATTACTATAATCATTATAAAATTTTTCATAGTTATAATTAACATTTATACTTGATAAACAGTTTTTTTTTACTCAATTGAAAGTTTAATATTTGAAAATATTTAGCATTCTTGGCCTTTTTTTAATCCATATGTGTGTGTTTCTTATTTAAAGGAGAAATAATCATTTACAGCAAGCAAAAGTATGTTTGTTTATCCTGAAATATGCGAAGGATCCATCATAGGCTATTTAATTTATAGACACCTATGTCCACGCTACTCAAGCATTAGGACTTGAAGCCAACTTTAGGACTCCAAACTGATAGTTAAAAGTTAAAAGCGAATCAACACAGTTTGAATTGATTGATTATTGGTTGAATGATTAAACGATTGATTGAAGGCTGATGAGGGTCAGGAGTTTATCGAGAGGATTGGAGAGAAGGTGAAGCAACACAACGAGGCATTTGCGCTCACTAAAATCCTCGTAGGGAAAATCAAGCTACACAAGGTATATTTAATTCCATTTTTTCAACCTATTTTTTGTATTAGTTATTGCGATAGTAATGAACATAATAAATATCAATGTAAGGTAAGGCCAATAGAGAATTTTTTTCTCAGAATACAGTACACCAACTTCCGTAATATACAGTGAACTCATTTTCGGTGGCTTTACAATTGTATGCTGGTTGTTAGTAAACAAACGCAACCGAAACTGGACTTGAACCGAAACTTAAAATTGAACTCAGAATTCAAAACTTAGTCACAGTCCAGCGTTATAATGTTACACCTAGTAAGATAAAATAGAGCGAGGTAAAGAAATTCATTATTTTAAAATATATATCAAAACCCCTCGCCTTCGCTCATGTCGAAACTGTAAATTATTGTTTCGAGATAAGCCTAAAATGAATGTCAACAGACCGATAAACCAGTTTTAAAGGGACTGTTAAGGAAAAATGAAAGGGGGTATAGGCTGAAAGCTCTTGATCGCGACCCATGAAAGTTATATCTGATGTCTCGAGAAATTGATATAAAACTCTGTCAAATTTATACAAAAATTCATATAAACATAATGAACAAATATTAAATGTATGAATATTAAATAATAAAATCAAATCATATATAATACCATCATAGTCCGAATTTTTATGAATTGGAGCCGCGTCTCAAATCAACCAATAACCGGTTTTAATTGAGCGCCGTCTTAAACTTTGAAACATTAAATATAACTTTAAGCGGAAACAATTTTATTTGAGCCCCGTCTCAAAGACTTTAAATTTGGCCTCTTGTAAATGAAGATGGGTTGGCCGGTCAGTAGTGGATGTATTGATTAATGTGATGGAGGGGGGGGGGGGGATTAAAAATATTGTTTTTAATTAAATAGGGAAATTTAAGTCCCGAGGCCGAATTAAAAGAGTTTGTGCTGACGCTCCATTGGAACCGGATTTAGGGGTTCAGGGACTTGGTTTAAATTCTCAAAATTCGGCGTATGGTTACTATAACAGAATATTAGCATTAATATTTTTTTGAAAGTTTCAGCTCTTTTATTATTAAATTTCTGAAATGTCTATTAAATTTGTTGTAGCATGATCTGCGAAGAGAAGCTCAGAATATTATAGAGGAGGTTGACAAAATGCTTGCAGAGGTAAATTATTAACTATTAGCTTGGGTATCCGGCACTGCCCAGGTAACTCTTAGTTAATACCGCAGTCGACCCATTCCACTTAGAATCTCAAAACCAGAATAAGGTCATCAGTGGTTCCCTCGAGTTCCCCAATCAAAATTTGAGGCAAATCAGTCGAGGGATTCCTGAGTTATGATGCAAACAAATGAACAGACAAACAGAGAAACAAACAGAAATTACAACTTTACATATAATATATATAGATGATGATTCATCTTTTACTTAAATATTCATTCAACCAGAGATGGAATTTAAAGAATTTAAGCCGCGGTTTAAATCTGCCAAAACCCGGTTTAAATTAGGCGCCGGTTTAAATCTTGAAACATTTGATACAATTTTAAGTGGAACCAACCATATTTAAACCGCGGCTTAAATTTAAACCGCCACTCAAATTCTTTAAATTCGGCCACTGTTTTGCGATATGTTTTCCAGAGATAAGTTTTTTTGTTACAGTTTTTTTCCTTGTTTTATAATTAGAAATGAAAATGATAAATGCACAGTGTACAGTGTACAATGTACAGTGTACACTGTACAGTGTACACAGACACATTTAATAGATGGACTTTCTATCTACTGGAAAAACTATTTGCTGTAAAAATATCAGATACCGCGAGATAGCTTAAAGGTCGTCTTCCTGGCCTAAACTTATTATTTAAAATTTAAAAAATGCAACAATTTATTGAACTCACTGTTGAAAAAGATGGACTCGCTGTTGAAAAAGAAATCTCCTGAAATCTGATGAAATATTTTACTTAGTTTGACGGAGTATCTCCGGTGCACTCCCACTTCTACCTCCTGTCCAGTGACCTGTATAGGATTGAAGGAAAACATGCGGATTTCTACAGGTAAGAGTTAGAAGAGTTATGACTGGGCATTGTTCCGTTAACGAACGGCATTTTGAATATTTACTAAATAAATTGTAAACGAAAAAAAAGAAGTAAAGATAACGAATCGTATTATTAAAACAATGGCAAGTATTTGCTATTGTGTTCTGTTTGAATTGGCATCGATTATTTTGTTATCCTACTGTTGACTGTTTAAGAACGAGATCGATCGTTTGTTCATTAACAAACGGAAAAGTTAGAATCTGCCCTGCTCTATTCAGGGTTCATCAATTGAGTATCAAACAGGAGTAGAAATGGGCATGATTGTCTTGGTGTGGTTTTTTTTACTTAAAACAAAAATGAAAAATCTTAATGAATTTGTTTGGATAAACTAATTAAACCTGAGGTTAAGTTTTAATTTAATGAATATTTAGGTCGTCGCTGAGATTTTTGGGTTGTACTGACTACGAGGAACTGAGTAGTGTAGAGCAGGCTAAACATGCTTTCTTCCTTTCCCTTGCAGCTCTTCTAGGAGAGGGGGTTTACAACTTCGGAGAACTACTAGCTCATAAGGTATCCCATATATAAACATGCTTTCTTCCACTCCCTTCCAGCTCTTCTAGGAGAGCATTGAACATGTATTATTAGGTCTTTTAGTATTTAAGAAACTGTAAGCTTCATTTTAAGTGATCCTCCATGCAAAGATGTCAATTCCCGATTCACAACGATACCCTTACAAGCTTTGTCAGATCAAGTTTGAATTAGATATTAACGTTTGTAATTTTGGAAAATTATTATTTTCAATTGTGACAAATAGTGTACAAAAAAAACTTCATCATTGATCAGGAACAGGTTTCAAGGATACCTATGTGAATCAGGCGTTGGCATCTTTGTATGAAGGGTCACTTGAAATTGCAGAACTCAAATTTGACCATGAACTTTTATCAGATCCTGGGTTCTCTGAAAGGAACAGAGAATGATTGGTTGATTGATCTCCTCTTTGCTTTCAACTCAGGAGATGTTGCCAAATTCAGGTATATTAGAACTTTTTTATGAACTCTTTTTTTTATTTCATTAAGACAATTTAGGACAAAGAGTGCCCACTGCCCCCCTAGCTGTTAGTTATAGAGTTAATTTTGCCATTTTTTGTTTGGTGATGATTTCTAAATATAAAATGTCAAAGTTGTTTATCTTGACTAAGCACAAAAACATGATTGACGCTTTTGATTCTGAAACAGTCACTTTTATCAAAAATACCGAATAATATGGCATGGTTTTTGTACATTAATAAATTGATCAATAATTCTGATTTTACATTTAAAGATATATATTCAGATTGTGTCTGAAGTTGATTATCTCGTTTTTAGGCAATTGAAACCAAAATGGGCCACACAGGCTGATCTCGCAGCCAATGAGACATTGCTCTTTGAGAAGGTGAATATGTTTAACAAATCAATACAAAAAATTTGATTTAATATTTGATTTTTTATGTCTAAGATCTAAGTTTCATTTAAAATTTTCTTTTATCTAAAACAAATAAAGGCTTTTGTACTGATGGGCTAATTAGGGCTGCACCCCAGCTTAACCAGGGAGCTTCTCGACATTTTATAGTTTCTTGATATGATTTGATTTGATTTGATTTGATTTGATTTGATTTGATTTGATTTGATTTGATTTGATTTGATTTGATTTGATTTGATTTGATTTGATTGATTTGATTTGATTTGATTTGATTTGATTTGATTTGATTTGATTTGATTTGATTTGATTTGATTTGATTTGATTTGATTTGATTTGATTTGTTTCGATCCGATTCGATTCGATTTTATTTGATTTTGAAGGTCTGTCTGCTGTGTCTGATGGAGATGAGTTTCAGAAGAGAAGCAACCCAAAGAATTATCTCATTCAAGGAAATTGCCGAGGTAATAAAAATGTCTTCAAACGGAATGTTTGTCATTTTAAAGGGTTCATCGAATTATTGATCGAATCCTAGTAAAATAAGAAGCTGCCATCTTTTTTAATCCCATAATTCATCAATTGAATGATGAATTGGCCATTGATTTGACAAATGATTTGATCAATGATAAGATCAATGATATGATAAATAATTTGATTGCCAAATTGATGGACAAATAAATTGACAAAATAATTGACAAAGTGATTGAATTTTTTTTGACAAATTGGTTGAAAAATATACTGACAATTAATTAATGAATTGTTGAATTGATCAGGAAACTATTATACCAGTTGATTAAGTAGAACTGTTGGCTATGAATTGAATAATGAATTGTTGAATTGATCAGGAAATTACTGTACTAATTGATCAAGTAGAACTGTTGACTATGAATAAATTGATTAATGATTTATTGAATTGATCAGGAGACTACTCTACCAGTTGATCAAGTTGAACTGTTGACTATGAAAGCGCTGTCCCAGTCCCTGGTCAAGGGAAAGATTGATCAGGTGAGCAAGGGTTAAATATCTCAATATTTAAAAAGACTGAGGTTGTTATTAAAAGTGACCTTTTACTTAAAAAGGAGTTTTCCCAATTCACAACGGTGTCCTCAAAATCGTTATCTGATCTTCGACATTAATATATCATAGAATTATTCTTAGAATACTCCTGTCATCCTTGATCAATGGATAAAGGTACTGTTGTGAATTGGACATGTTACTTTACTTTTATTAGTCCCACCTAATTACTTCTTATCCAGAAAACATTCTATATATATATACTAGCTTGAGAACCCAGAGTTGCCCAGGGTTCTCATAGTTACTCCCGCCGTTTACTTGCGCTTGGTCGTAAATTTCGATTTTAGCTATTTTTCCCTATAAAGAAGACCTTCTCAACTTAGAATCTAAAAACCAAGCTTAGAACATTCCCGTGGCTCTCCCGAGTCCCCCAAATCAAAATCAATATTTGAGGCAAATCGGTCAAGGGGTGATGAGTTATGATTTTTTAAATATAGATATACTTGATGGCCGATGAAGATTCTGTTATATGTAAAACAATTGATATTTGTTAAGGTGAATGCTACCGTTCACATCACCTGGGTTCAACCTAGAGTACTTAATAAGGACCAGGTTAAGGTCAGTAGTCATTTATTTATTTCATGAACTGTCAACTCTTGTAATGTAAACCCTTAATTTCTTGTGGCTAAATATCAATATGCATTGAGGACACTTTTGACTTTCTGCCTGTTCCTCTCTCATGGATATATCTTGATTCCGACCAATGAGAGTTTTTTATTGATTTCGCACAAAATTTCTCGGCTTCTGATTGGCTGGTAAATTTCTGCAATCGACATTCTGATGCTGATTGGTTTGCATTTAGAAACTTTCCTTGATATTAATGATCAGATTTGATTATTCTGCAGATTAATAAAATCAATAATGGATCTCGATATCCACAATTCTACAGATTTTAACTCAGAACACTTATGTAGAAAGTGAGACTGACTTCGTCAATTTTCTAACAGGGTTGAATAATTTCAAGCATCTCTCCTGGGGGGGGGGGGGGATGCTTTTTGAAGAACTTTGGGAAAGACGAAAAATTGGTCATGATCAGGGAATAACACCCTAAAAACTTCTGGATTGAACATTGTTTTCTAATTAATGAATTTTTATGAAATGTACAGTATACACCCCTGGTTCCTTACTTTACCTGTATTTCTAATGTTTGTGTTTAGATAATGCTGAATAAGATAGATATCTGGTCTGCTTCTGTTACAAAGATGGAAAAACAGATCGAAATGAACGCCGGGGAGATCCTCACCTATTAAACATACTTGATACCAATTTATTTCACTTCAATACAGTAATAATATTTTCAGAAACAATTTACAAACTTTTCCGTTAATTCGATTTTTCAATGTCAAAAATTAAGTAGTATTTTGTTTTCTAAGTTGATTTCCAATATTTCGAAAATGTAAATTTTGAGCAAGGATTAGTTTTGTATTTAGTAAAATCTGGTACAAATAACTATTTGTGTTTCATAAAGTAACATTTAAGTAACATTTCTTATTGTTAGAAAATATTTTTAAATGCTGAGAAAATATTTTAAAATACTGAAAAACGTTGTGAATATTTGAATTCCAAATTAGTTAATTATGTTTATAGATGCTGAAATTAATCCTACTGGTCCTTGTATATTTTAAAAACAAAACCCAACCTGATATTTATGTAATTTTTGAATAAAATACGTAAATAATAAATATTTGTCTGAAAAGATATTGTATGTGGAGTGACAATTTTATTGGATAAACTAGATTTATGTAATTTGTCTATTTTTTGATTTGTTCGACAAAATTGATATTTAAAGTGCCAAACCATTATAACGTATTTGACTGGAGGTTTCTATAAAAATGTTAATATTCAAACCTTGGAAAACAAAAGTGAAAAATTGTTTTTATGTATTTTCAGTCGGCGGTAGCCATAAAAGTGATAATTTTCAAACTTAACACCACCACTGGAAATCCGTTACTCCATACTTTTAAATATACTTAGGTAATTATAAACAATAACTTTCATTGCGAAAGGGTGTCTCATTAACATGCATTCATGACTTATTTTTAGTGAGTATGGGGAACAGAATGATAGTACTATTATAACAAATTATGCCCAGGCTGAAAATGAGCTCAGCCGTAAGAAATTCGTAATATGGATATAATTTTGCATACAGTCTTAGCTAATTTGATCTAAGGTCACATTTCATAGAATTAATATTGCTCACAATGGTGCCCTTAATATTTCAGAACTTCTTTTATTTAACTCTAAGAAAGAGATTAATTCTGATAATTCTTGTATAGTTTTCCTGGAGTAGAAATGCGCAAGTCACTTTTTTCGCGATATCTCGATTAAAAGTATTTTCAAAATTATAATTAATTTAACTTGATCAGACAAAGCTTTTAAGAGAGTGTTCGCAAAAAATGAAAGGTGGTATAGGCTTACGCTATAAAAAATCGCTTTTGATAACTACTAATCTGACTTCTATCTGTTGCGTCTATAATGAGAAAATTGTTTAAGCGTTTCATATCGGAGAACGTAGCATGCATACAAATTGAGAATCGGATCGTAAAAAATCTATTTAATATCAAACAAATCAATTAGATATTAAATCCTATATAGTCATCGATTATTTTTCGAAGCATTCGGATATAATTGATTTTTCATAATATAATCTGAGAGTTATTTTTGAAAACATTTATTCCTGTTCCGAGGATTCTTGATAATGAAGACGACATTTTCATATTTTTCAGGAATTTTCGGAAATAAGTTGTAAGCTAAATATTATTTTAAAAAACAAAATCAAAAATACAATGAAATATCAATTATATCCGAAAAATAATTGATTACTAGGATTTAATATCTAAATGATTGTTAAATACTAAATAGATTTTAAGATCCGAGTCCTATGTTGCGACTATCTCAATTTATATGGACGCTACGTTCTTCGGTATGAGGCGTTTTTAACAATTTTCTCCTTATAGACGCAACAGACAGAAGTAAGAATAGTAGCGATCATTAGCGATTATTTTTCGCCGTTAGCCTCTACTCCCTTTCATTTTTCGCGAACACTCCTTTTAGAGGTTACCGTTGTGAATCGGACATACCACTTGTTTATGGTATTGTAGCTTAAAATCACGTTTACAGAAGTGAAGTCATGCGTCATGTGTCATGTGTCATGGGACCATAGAATATGGTTCAAAAGCATGAATGTGCATGGATAGTTGTCTATTTCGATGAATAAGGTAACTAACTACAGACTTAAACCATATGTTAACAACACAGATAGAAAACTATATGTTGTCTTTTCCGGATTGTCGTAGAATAGGGTCGCCTTGTCTTGTAGTTCAACGCAGCGTGCGCGTAACTCCTTGTGGCATCTGCATCAGTGTTCTTGTGAACGAAAAACCCCTATTTCTTGAAAAGACGACATCTAATGTTTTTTATTAATCTTTGTCTTTAACATTATTACTTTTCAACTAGTAACAAGAAAAATAGCAATAAAATTACAAATTTATTGAAGCCATATTTATGTATATAATCATTATCTTGAATGTTCTAAGTTGTTAGGTTCTGAATAGTGTCTCTGAAAAATAACTCGGTTAGTAAAATAAATTTACCTGAGATGGAATTTAAAGAATTTGAGCCGCGGTTTAAATCCACCAAAACCCGGTTTAAATTAAGCGCCGGCTTAAATTTTGAAACATTTGATACAATTTTAATTGGAACCAACCAGATTTAAGCCGCGGCTTAAATTTAAACCGCCGCTCAAATTCTTTAAATTCGGCCACTGGTTTAATAGAAACATGGAAAACAGCTTATTTGTCTAGGGTATAACAACAAGGACATTATAAGTCAACTGGACTACACCAACATAACTTCAAGTGATCAATTTATTGTGTAAGAATTGGAAAAATAAACTCAAAACTTTGGTACAAGCCGAAATTATGAAGGTATATTCTTTTTATTCGATTAAGCATTAACAGAGTCTTCTTCCCCCCCCCCTGGGATTATTGTTCAAAGGCTTATGTCTGGAAGGGGGGGGGGGTAGGTTAGCCAAGAGTTTGGCAACATCTGAAAGGGCAAGTCCGCTCCCCCTAAAAAATAATTCAACAATTTTCTGAAAAGTCCTGACCTGGCATTTTCCAGCTTATGTAGAACAATGAAAAATTGTTCCGGGGACAATTCTAGATTCAACACATTCTAGTCAGAAATTATAGATAGACAACTCGAGTGTTTAAAGGAAATTTTAAATACACATTTATATTTATGTAGGGTTACCAATCGGAATTCAGTTACGCGGACTTGTGCGAAACTGCGCGAAATTGCTCGGAATTGGCGGAATAAATGGATTCGCAATTGCGGATAACTCTATGCACTTTGTTTTTGACACTCATCGAAATAATATATCGGATAATGAGAAATGACGACAAAAACAGTGGAGCTCATGAAGACGACATCCAGTAATCAAGTTTTTTCAATAATAGAACAAATAGGTTACGTAAATTACGAGTAGCTTGAAAATAAACTTTTTAAGTGAAATTATTATTATCCGTATAGCTGTATTTCATGTTTATTGGACTATATAAAATCGTGCCTTTAGTCTATCAATATCTTCTTATTGCACTGTTTTATGAGCCACATAATAACATTTTAAATTATATTTTTATATTATTTGAAACTATATTTTTGTAGATAATTACCTTGGGAGATAGTTCGGATTTTGAGACAATCTCAAGACGTATAAAAGTAGCACCTGAAATAACTTAAATTTGTACAGTACAATTTAAAAATATTTTTGATTATTATAAAAAAAGTTGAGACGTTTTAAGACTTTAATAAAGACCTGAAACTCTTAAATAATAATGATCAGAAAAATTAAGTCTTTGATAGAATATTCTATGATTTGGCAAAGAAAGAAACCAACAAGTAAATAATTGAAGTGTCGTCTAATGAAGTCTTATTATTTTTGGAAAACCCTGTAACTAAAGAAACTACCAAGTTGGATTTAAAATACACACGGGCAAAAAATGTAACTTCCAAATACCTCAAACAATGAATTTGAATCTGAAGTTATTTAATTTTTTAGTAGAGGCTACGTCCCTATAAACAGGAGTTCAGTGTAAATATGAAAATCATCAATAAAAGGCATAAACATAGCTCTCATATAAACATATTTTACGATTCTTGAACTTTTAACTAATGATCTATTGTCATGGAAGCAAATCATTTTCGTTTAATTTTAATAAATGTTGAATATTCTTTTTTTTATTTTTGTTATTTTGAGTAATAAGAGTCACGCACCAATGCCAGGCAATGTAAAGGCAACTTTTTAAATAAATCATGATACCTTTAGTTGGAAACTTAGTTGACTGGCTTATTTGATTTCTTCTCATACATGCGAGATTGCGAAATTAAGAGGCAGCTGATTATTTTACGGATTAAATCTCGTTAAATCAAAAGTTTCAAAAGTTTCCAGTGTGGATTATAGCACGGTTTACATTTAAAAGTTCCAATCTCAATCAAGAATAAATATGTTTTACCAGGTTCCTTATCCTCTAGCTCCCCTCCACCAGCTGCTCGCACTAGAAAAATCAAAATTAAAGGATTGTTCACTTTTTAAAATAAATTTTAAAAATTACAAACTGTGAAACTCTTAATTGAAAATACCAAAATCCAAATTTAAGTAAATACTTTTTTCTAACTTTTGCGATCTTGAAAATGTTTTTTTATTCTTTATTTTGTTTGAAACTCATGAGTGAACTGCGAGTGAACTGTTAAAAGAACGTTATTAACGCTTTAATGTAACAAAAACTTTTTTCGGAAACTAGCTTGAGAACCCAGCTTTGCCTGGAAACAAAGTTTTCTATATAAGAGTAAACTTAGACTCTTTAAACCCAGCTGAGAACTTTCCCGTGGTTCTACAGAGTTCCCTAATCAAAATTTGAGCCAATCGGTTAAGTGGTTCCCGAGTTATGATCCGACATACAAACAAAGATTACTACTTTATATTAAGAAGAGAGGAAAAGCATGTTAGCCTGGCATATCAACATTTGTGAGATATTGCTCACATTCTGTTCATTAAGTATGAATTTTTACCGCCAACTTCCCAGCTTAGTTTTTCAAATTTTTCCGCCATTTTTAACAATTCTATTTAAAAGATTTGTCAGAACTGAGAAATGTATAAATTTCTTTTAACATGTTTTGCTTTCAATTTTATCTTTACCACAATACTTACCAGACAGATAAGTGTAAAATCAATGAGAATATATTCAAGGATAACTAGAAGGATAAATGTGAAATCAATGAGAATATATTCAAGGATAACCAGAGAAATAAGTGTGAAATTAATGAGAATATATTCAAGAATAACCAGAGAGATAAGTGTGAAATCAATAAGAATATATGCAAGGATAACTAGAGAGATAAATGTGAAATCAATGAGACTATATTCAAGGATAACTAGAGAGATAAGCGTGAAATCAATGAGACTATATTCAAGGATAACTTGAGAGATAAGTGTGAGAAAAATGAGAATATATTCAAGGATAACTAGAGAGAAGTGTGAAATCAA